ATTATTATTATTATTATTATTATTATTATTATTATTATTATTATTATGCTGCTGCAGACGAAACTCCTGTAACCATCTGTGTGGATTTCCCTGACATGATAGTCAAAAATATGCCTGGAAGAGACATTTGTGTTGCTTTGAGCCTAGAAGAAAATAACATACCGTATTGTAAAGGTCCAGTTTTCCCTGCTGCCTCTTCCGCTTGTATCTTCAGGACGTGGGTTTTTAGAGATCCTTTTCTGGAACCAAACAAGATCCCCAAGGAGGCATCATCAAAACATGCTATGCTGGGCACGATGGTCAACCAGTTGAGGAAGCTTAGATTCCCACTTATGATAAGCAGTACCTAAGAGGAAGAAAGGAAGGGAGGGAGGGAGGGAAAATACCGGGTCAGGATTTGAGGGTTACAGACCTTAACAACAGTCTCCAAGTTTAACTTATAGAGCGAACATTGAGCAAAATGATCTGTGCAAGGACTCCAACAAATCCACCCCCATTCAACTCACAAGTCTCTAGCCACATCTCTCAGACAAAAGAAAACTGGTTTATTAGAAGTGGCCATGTTGGTGTTAGCTGGATGCCGCTGACACTAAAATACATCATTCCTTTCCCCCTTGACCCTGGTCTTCCCCCACCCTCTGGATGTGTATTCTCCAATGGGACACATCCATAGCCAAAGTCATCAATCATGCTCTCCAGTAATATTCTTGCGCGCTGACAACTTTGGGCTGCCAGGGCGATTATCTAGGCACTTGAGAAATGCACTCTTTTCTCCCACTCTCTTTCTGCTGGCAGCTAAAAAGACCAAAGGGATATCTTTTTAGTTGACAATCTGCAGCTCAGTGGGAATTTGAGGAAGCGGCAATCTGTAAGAGCATAAATAAAAATATTGCAATTAGGGTTGGGGGTCCTGTGCTGACTGTGTTAATGGAATAAACTATTGAAACAAGCCTGAAAAAAAGAGAGAGAGGGACAACTCAAGGCCTCCAGATAGCTTCCATCTATCCTTATTTTTGCAACTTCTTTTACTGGGCCTCTTGAGGATAAATCTGGCTTCCCAAGTTATGAAAGTGGCTGCCACAGAGAGGAAGGGGGTCAAGCTATTTTCCAAAGCACCTGAAGGCCAGACAAGGAATAATGGATGGAAACTGAACAAGGAGAGATTCAAGCTGGAAATAAGAAGAATTTTTTTATGACAGTCAATCCATTTATGACAATCAAACCATGGAACAGAATTCGCCTTCGGAAGTTGTGGGAGCTTCATCCCTGGTAGCTTTCAAAAAGAGACCGGACTGCCATCTGTCAGAACTGGTGTTGGTCTTCTGCTTGGTTGGGGGGTTGGACTAGATGACCTACAAGGTCCCTTCCACTCTGTTAAATGGCTTTGGGGGGGGGTCACTTCTGGTTGATTCGAAGCTGTAGTGTGAGGTATGTTTGAAGACAGTGCCTCCAGCCTTAAAAGAGGGGATGGTATACCTCCTCTTGAAGAGACCACCTTGCGTTCATAGTTTTAGATAACTGCTGCTCTGTGTCCCACCTTCCTGATTCGGGGAATGTTGTTTACATGTTGATCGGACTCTCAACTCTGAATCCAACCTGGCTGAAGCCATCTTGTGCTGCTTCACAGTTGCCACGCACTATGGGGGGAGGATGAGGGGGAAACAGCTAGACCGTCTCGAAGACAAAACAAAGAGCTCTCCCGTGGGAACCAAGGTCATCCCAACAGGTGGCAGGAGGAGGAGGAGCAGAAGTCGTGGTCGAGGGAGCCCGCCAACTGCTTTGATTGGACAATGTGACCTGGAACACCTGGGGAGGAGAAACTTTTGATCTTTCAATTACAAGGTAACCACGGGAAACTTTTAGAGTTGGTTTTCACCGGCTGTGCCGATATGATGTGTCCAATAAACGTGTTCTCTGAGGAATGTTCCTGCCTTGGTGGAACCAGTGGAACAGCTTGCCACTAGAAACCATGGGCGTTCCATCACTGGAGGTTTTTAAGAAGCGTGTTCTGACCAAAGATTATGGAGACACTAACAAACACACGTTAGTCCCCAAACCCTTTTTCCTTTATTTCAACGGCTGTGAATTTTATTCATTCAAAGCCTGTAATGAGTCTGAAACAGTTTGTAAATAGTCCTATGGAAGTCTGCCAAAGTCCTTCAGGATAAGTCTGATAAGCACGCACCTTTATCTTCCTTGAAATGCTGCCAACGACTAAATGTCCAAATAGTTATACGAGGCCAAAAGGACCAGTACGAACAAAGTTGCTTCCTGCAAAGATTCCTGTCCTTTTGCTCCTC